TGTTGGGGGGGGGGGGGGTTGTTAAAACCTCATTGTTTTTTTTTTTTTTTTTAAAAAAATTGCATTCTCAAATAGTGTTTTGATAGAAGATTTGTGGTTAAAAAATAAAGGATTTTTTTAATTTGCATGTAATATTATTTTATTGAAAAATGTGTAGTTGAAATGAAGTCAAATTACTGTTGAAAAACGTATTTTGATGAAACGAATGGGGCTCAAACAAGGGCAATGTATACAACGAGAGAGTTTAATAAACTTATTTTTTTTCTTAATACTATTTAATGACTTATACAGGAACAATATGTTTGTGTGTAAAGCAATTTTAATGTTCTTTTTGGGTCAAACCGGACTAATTGTCTTGGGACCGAAAGGCAATAGTCCCATATTAAGGGGTTTTTGTTATTACGACATAATATTCAGCTTATGCCTAGGTTAGTGCATGCGTGTGTGTGTTTTCTCTATTTATTTTTTATTTTTTATTTTTTGTGCTTTGAAGAATCCTTCACTCAAAAATTACTTAAAATTACATTCATGTAGGATCTTGTTTGGCCATTCAAGGTACCTAGTCCTAGTCCTTATCCCCAACCCCACGCCATCCTAGGGTTTTGCAACCCCAAGTTTAATGAATATTTTACCTAGTTAGAACAAAGTAATTTTCTTGGATTAAGTCCACATGCTACATGTGGGAGACTGTGTCTGGTCTCAAACTTGGTCTCTATTTTCATATTTTCAAGATTCTGTGCAATCAAGTAGGTGTATTAGTTTAATTAATCCAAGGATTTAACTAATCAAGTTGACGGCAAAACACTCCAAGGAGGGATTAATTAGTTCAAATAATCTCCCAGTTTGGAATCCCTAACAAACCCCTATCCATAGTAGATTTGGTCCACCAATTATACTTTAGGATTCAAGAATTGTCTAACTACATGTTTGGCTAATTTCAAAAGTAACTCAAAACTTACTTTTAAGTAATACTTTTTTCAGAATAAATTTCTATTAGTTATTTTCACTATTCTATTTTTTATTTTTTTTTAAATGTACACGAACTTAGTTGAAAGTTTTTAGTTCATCTCACTCAGATCAAAAGGGTGGTTCACGATGGCCCCCCTATCCTAATATGTAGTCATTTTGACAATAAAGTTGGGACTATTTGTGAAAAAAAAAATATTTTAATTTAACTTTAGCGAATATTTACTATAAAATTTACTTATTTAGTTAGGTTAAATTTATAAGTACTAAAACCTTAACCAAACATGCAATAGATTTGCTTGTTGGAGGGGTTGTTTGGTGCCTCCCATATTGTTTCCCATGCCATTAAATTTGCAATAAATAAATTTAAAAAAAAAATAAAATTACAAGGTGGATTATTTGTTAGGCTACTATTATTTGTTAGGCTACTAGGCTACGTGCTTTTATTTGGCAAATCCTAATAATTAATAACAGCTTCCTTGTTTGTTATGTTAGGAATGAATATTGATGAAAAGGAGAATGGGAATAATATTATATATTTGGAATAGATTATGTTCCAATCATTAGTAAAAATATCAGGATTAAAGTGAATCCGCAATTTAAAACCAATTTCTAAGCAGCATTATAAACATACCATTTTGACAACAAAAAAAATAAAGAGCTGGTACTCAAATTCAATCCCACTATACATTGAAAGTTACAAATTTACAGTGCATACTCAATTGAGATTTTAATAAATTTTAAGAATTTTTCTAAAGTTAAGTATCTCAAATTGATATTTTAACGGATTTTAATAAAATTTATTAAAATTTAGGTGTCTTCAACTTAAATTTTAATGAAATATATCCTTAATAACTCAAGAATCTATAGTCCTTGTTTGATGTCCATTATAAAGAGAAATTGGGGGAATTGAAGAATGCGCGATTAAAAAGTTAAGAAAATTTTAAATTTACGTGTCAGATATTTTATTGTGCGAATGAATAGTTGAAAATAAATATGAAAAATAAAGAGTTTTGAAATAAAGAGAGTCAAAAAGAGACAAAAATTTCATGAATAGAGATATTTTAATAGATTTGGATGGAATTTAAGTTTAAAAATACATATAACAAATTCTTTTGAAGTTTCACCATTTTTAACGAGATTCTTATGAATTTGGTGAAAATCTATTCAAATTCATGAAATTTATTAGAAGTTATAATATTTCAAAATCCACTAAAATATCATTCGAGGACACCCCTTAAATTCGATTAAAGCATTCTCAAAATTGACTAGTTTACCCTAAGATCATCTCCAATTTACGAACAGGAAGTACAGCCAATTTTTTTATTTTTTATTTTTTTTCTTGCGTGGTATCTTTATTTTCTTTTTTCTCCCATAGAAAAATAAGATTCATAAAGCTTATTCCATGTTATATTACTGGTTGTAGTTTGTGCATCTAATTTGCATTTCGTTACAAATAGCTAAAATAAGTAAAAATATTTGTCTAGTCGATTTAATAGTCTATTCAGATTTAAAAAAAAAAAATCATTAAATCAATAAAACTATAGATGAAAATAACACGAGCAATTATTTAGTATAATAAATAAAAATTCCATCAACTCATGTCACAACTTGGATTATTTCAAATGGAAATCAATTGAAAGAACATATGTTGACAACGTGGGGACAATTATGATGGATTATTTCAAGTTTCAACAGCCATTTTCAATTATTTAAAGGAAAATCGCATCTTCTAATGCTCAAATAGTTGAAATTCCAAGCTATGTCACATTTACAAATAGAGGTGAACATATTTTTCTTATGTATTTTGGGAAAACATATTCTAAATTTGTACTACAATGCATTTACAACAATGCAAAATAAACATAAAACAAAATGCCATTATCAAATTAAATAAATGTTTACAAAAAAATTGTAGTTGTGTTTTTGCGTCTGAGAAAAACTCGTGCAAACCTACAAACATAAGTGTGTGATAACACTATAATGGTTAAGATAAAGAATGAGAATATATGTCAATAAGTATATCTGACACCAACTTATGAAATTAAGAAGACGATATCTAGTGTTGTCTAGACCCATGTTGACAAGTAACACAATCTTAATAGAATCAAGTTAAATGACAAAGAGAAAGATAAACCTCTAATATGATTATCGTGGTTGTTAAGGATTTAATGATTTTTAGAATCAGATCCAACAATAAACCAAATAAATTGATAAAAATGAAGTGGACACTAAATTTGTATCTCAGTATGGGAGAAAAATTGGGTAGACAAAGGAAAGAAGTGAATTTGATTTGTACTATGAGCAAAGTATCTCTTCCATACTCTTGGGAGTTCGCATTTTTCAGCTTTTAACCTCTTAGCTTTAAGCCAAACATCTTTTCTTGCCCCTTCTACTCTTTCCTCATAGGTTTTCCATTATCTATTTCTTTTACTTGTCCGATAAGTTAGACTATATTGTTATAAAGAAAATTTAAATTTTGTTTAAAGTCTTCAACTAATATTAATGCAATTTTTTGGAAGACTATATACTTTTGCATACTTGATCAAAAGCACAATCTCTTGAAATAAATTAACATTGCTAGCAACTGTAATAAGAGATCACCTCCAATTCTTTTACAGTTGACTCTTTGGTCCGTACAAAACCCCCAATCTACTCCCCAATGTCAACTAGGCAAATTCATTGACAGTATTCTGTTTTTTATAGCTACATATACATCTCAAGTATGGAAGTCCCAACAAAAATATGCATACAGATTCATATTATACATGTAATCAAATTTTAGGGTTACTGTCAACATGTAGAAACGGACAATGAAAAAACATAGGCGGAGGAAAATTCCTAACCCAAATAAGATAAAAGGAAAGTAAGGTAGTTTGACAGTTTCCATTTTAATTGGCTGAAAACAAATTTTAAATGCACATCAACTAACAAAAGAAAGCCAAATGTTATAAATATAAAGAAAAAGACCTGTTCGAATTGATGTGAAACTTTTCACCAAATGGTGTAAAAATGAGGCACAAGTTTTCACCAAAAACTTGTCCATTTTATTTTTAGCATTCACCTGGCTAGAAAATCTTATCACCATATTTCCTGCCTTTCATTTTCCTATCCCTTATCATACCTTCTTAGATAGCCCATCAAATCATTTTTTTTTACCTGTCCTTTTCATTTCTCCCTTCAACCCAGAACTACCACTTTGCAACTAGGCTATTAGAATTTTTTTCTATTATTATTATTTTTTTAATTTATTTATTTATTTTTTTTTACAGGAAATGGACATGGATGATTCTAGAATATTGAGATATAGCCAGTTGTTGCCACCACACACTGATCTATTTTATTTATCAACTGTCCAATTTTTATATCTAGATTCAAATTGAAATATGTTCTCTTGCTGAATTGGTTTCACCCACCAAAAGTCAGAGTTTGGTGACACATATGCTGCACCCAACTATAGTCAATAGAGTAAAAGACTTGCATCCAGCCTTGCTTTGTTACACAATAATATATGTATGTTTTGATCTTAGAATTTCAATAACAATAGTACAGATGA